TGAGTGTGTGGGGCGTTTTCTTCTGCAGGCCAGCTCTTCAGCTCTGCCAGGGACCACTGGTATGAGCAGATCCAGCTACGATCAACTCCAAGGACCACCAGCTTGTCTCACTGTGAGAGGATTCTGTCCAAATAAGGACACTAGGACTAACACTCGCAATCAACAGGACATAGGATGAAATAAGATTCAGGCTCTCTAAAGACAGTAAGTAAAGAAAGATACAGATGGGAGGGACAATAATTAATAATGGTGAGAACCTATTCGTTGCCAGGTACTGAGCAACTTGGGACCGTTTAATCTTCATGAAGACTTGCGATAAACACATAAACACCCTTCCTTCCTTCCTTCTTTTCCTTCCTTCCCTCCTCCCTCCCTGGATAATTCAGTCAAAAAGTCATTTCCAGAAGGGGCTGTAGAGGCAGTGGCAGAGGGCTGAGAAACCAAGGAAGCAACTAGTGTGTTAGAGAGATGACTTGCAATGAGGACGATGGAGGCAAAAAAAGAACAAAGAAAAGAAAGGCAAAAGAAAAGAAAGGGTAGGCAGAGGCTGTTCCTTTAGCCTGGATCAGAGCCAATCCAAAGCAGCAGATGTGCAGGCATGGAATATGAGCCAAAAGTAAACCTGTACTATAGCAAGCCACTGAGATTTGGGATGACTCGTTACCCATAGCAAAGTGAGTCTAACCTGACTGATACAAGCTAATAACTAGTATGGTTTCAGCATAAATATAGGTTGTCCAGCCAACATCAAAGCCCATGGTCTTTCCACTTGATATAAGGAATTATTTATACATTTTAAACATTTTACTTATGATGTTGGCTTTTGTGAGATTTGGCTGTTCTGAGCTTGTCCATTTCTCAACACTTAGGTAGAATTTTGTCCTCTGATTCTTTTTAGTCTTCTTATTCTTCTTTGCAATAGACCTACTTTTTTTTTTTTTTAGAGGTTTTTGCTATAGGGCGTGTGCACTCACCAGAAAGACAGAGAGACAGAAAGCGAGAAATCACCCCCTAGGGGGGATGGCCACGCCACAATCCCTTCTCCTCCATTCTCCTCTTGGGATCTTGGGCACGCACGCACACGCGCTCGGCATGAGTTTAAGTCGCCGGTGCCGGGTCCGGGACTTGAACCTTGGTCAACTATGTGGGAGTCCAGTGACATAGCCATGACGCTAACTGCTGGTCCCAACCTACTATCTTTAGCAAACAAACAAAACATTATTTTTAGAAAAACACTCTGGGTGCGCCCTGTGTGTGTGTGTGTGTGTGTGTGTATGCGCACTCCAAATACAAACAGGATGGAAAAATGGAGGAGAAGGGATTGTACTTTTGATAATATAACCCCAAAAGACATTTTGGCTACAAAATGCTGCATAAAATATCACTGAATTAGCAGTATTTTTTAAAAAGAGAGATTTTTGCTCTAGGGCATGTGGCACTCACCAGAAGGACTGAAAGAGACAGAGAAACAGAAAACGAGAAATCATCCCTCCAGGGGGGACAGCCGCACTGCAATTGCTTCTCCTCCATTCTCCTCTCAGGATTTTGGGCACGGCTGCAAATGTGCCCTGTGTTGAGTTTTAAACTGCGGGGTCTGGGACTCCAGCCACAGTCGAGTACATGGGAGTCCAGCAATGTAACCATTACACTATCTGCTGGTCCTGATTTCTTTCTTTCTTTTTTTTTTAAGAGAGATTTTTGTCATAGGGTGCATGTGCTTGCTAGAGAGACAGAAAGTAAGAAGTCACTCCCCCCCCCACCCCAAAGGGTATGACCACTGCAGTCCCTTGTCTTTCATTCTCCTCTCGGGATTTTGGGCACACACACACGCACATGTCTGGTATGAGTTTTAAGTCATGGGGTCTGAGATTCAAACGGTCCATAATCTGTCCCTACCCCACCGCTTCCCCTTCACTTGGCACCCACTCTGGCCCTGTGTGTGGAGTCACGACTGGCACAGGCAGAGAAAAGGCAGGGGAAACCTGGTGGGGGTCAGTGAGTGGTGCAGTCCCTGGAGGGATGGCTGCCAACACAATTCTAAAACTTACATGGAAGATTAAAGAGCCAAGACTATCAAAGACATTCCTGAAGAAAAGAAAGTATTTTTTTTTTGTTTTTTTTTTGAGGGGGGAGAGGGTTGGGGAATAAACCAATGACATGAAATATAGAGCCCAGAAACTGACTCTATGTATATGTAAATTTAATATATGATTGGGTGGTATTGAAGATCAATGAGGAAATAGAGCTAAGATATTTGATTATCCAAATTGAAAAATAAAACAGGATCCCTACCTCACACCATGCACAAAAATGAATTCTACATTTATAAGGATAAAAAGTGTGAAAGAAAAAAAACAGAGTTGGCCCTGTAGTGCAATGGTTAAGTACTGTCCACGGAAGGCCAGATCCCACATGACCAACTGTGGTTTAAACCTAACCCTGGTAACTTGAAAACCACGTGAGGTGGGGAACCAGCAGTTAGCGTAATGGCTATGTCGCTGGACTCCCACGTAGTCGACCGCGGTTCGTGTCCCGGACCCGGTGGCTTAAAACTCACGCCGGGCGCGTGTGCGTGCGTGCCCAAGATCCCGAGAGGAGAATGGAGGAGAAGGGATTGCGGTGTGACCATCCCCCCTGGGGGGTGATTTCTCGCTTTCTGTCTCTATGTCTCTCTCTGTCTGGCGAGTGCACGCGCCCTACAGTGAAAATCTCTCCAAAAAAAAAAAAAAAAAACCACGTGAGGTGCATGTGCATGTGTGCCTAAAACTGATGGGACAAAGACATGGAGGAAAAAGGACTGTGGTATGGCTACATCCCATCAGGAGGTACTTTCTCTCTCTCTTGCACACATGCCCACTGACAATTTTTTTTTAATTAAAAATAAAGCAAACATAACTTTCAGAGAAAAACAAATGGATCTCTTGATAGCTTTCAGTGGGTGAGGGTAAATTCCATACATTGAGCTTTCCTCTCCCCTCCTCCTTTGCCCCATTCCTCTGAGATCCAGCTGCTGGTCTAGCTTGACCTTGTGAGCCCCTCATGACCATTCCCTTATGTCATGAAACTGTGGCATGGCCAGGGCTGTTCCAGAGGTTAAGTCTCACATCTCTTCCACAGTAAGCATCACAAGACCAGAGACACTAAACTCCGACACTAACCCAGACATACTCTGCTGATTCTATTGACTAAGCTGATCTGGTATTGAAGCCCCTAAATAATGTATGTCTTTACTTGATAAATGCATGTTTTGTTCTTGGTGTGTGAAACCTGAGTCTGTATTTGCTGATGGCACAGACATTGTCTACCCAGCTGTCAGTGAAGCTTCGCTAGGAAGTAAATTCATATCTTTCCCTGTTGGACCTTCAAGTGTGTTCTTTAAAATCAGTAAACATTGGGACCAGTGATAGTTATATCACTGGACTCCCGCATAGTCAACCGTGGTTCGTCTCAGACCCAGTGGCTTAAAACTCACACCAGGCACTTATGTATGCCCAAGATCCTGAGAAGAGAATGGAGAAGGCATTGCGGTGTGGCTATCCTCACCAGCAAGTGATTTCTCACTTGCTATTGTAACAAGGGAGGCAACAGACAAAGGTGACTCCATTGTGTCCTATCCTCCTGAAAGTGCCACCATTTTGAGGCCCTAGGATCTGTTAAACATTTCTCTAATTGAATAGGAGTGCCCTCTCCTCAGGGTAGGAATGTTCTCTTCTACTGGCCTATACGTATATACTGCAATAACCTCAACAATTGCTTCTGTTAAACCTTCCTCAAATGGAATGTGGCTTTATTACTTAATACTAAATTTTGCTCTGTATAAAAGCTTGTGCAAGGTCACTCCTTCCTCTTTTTTTTTGGAGAGGTTTTTGCTATAGGGTGTGTTATGCTCACCAGAGACAGAGACAGAAAATGAGAAATCACCCCACCCCCCGGGGGAATGGCCACGCCGCAATCCCTTCTCCTCCATTCTCCTCCTGGGATCTTGGGCACTCACACACAGGAGCCCGGCGTGAGTTTAAGCCCCTGGGTCCAGGACTCGAACTATAGTTGGCTACATGGGAGTTCAGTGACAAAACCATTACGCTAACTGCTGGTCCCATTCCTTCCTCTCTTGAGCTCCCCCTCTTCACTGCTCCCACCACATCAACCCAGATGTGGTTTTTGCCTTTATAAGCGTCCTTCTCCCTAAACTCGGGGCTGCTGAGTCTTTGAGAGACATGAGTCCTCCTGCAGTTGCTGGCTAATAAAGACTCCTATAATTTGGCTATGACTGGGTATCCTCCTATTTCTTGCTGATCACAATGTAACACTGTATTTCTGTCTCTCCAGTGAATGCATGCACCCTTTAGCAAAAATCTCTGGGAAAAACAAAAAACAAAAACAAACAGTAAACATCATGGGCAAAACTCACCAAATTTGGGGCCCCCTGAAACATTAAGAAGGATTTTTTTAGAGAGATCCAAAGATACCAAACCCAATAAAGAAAATTATTGGTATGTCTGATACATTAAAATAAAGAACTGCCCTGAACGACATTATAAAGTGAAAAAGCAAGTTGTAAATGGGGAGAAGATATTTACCATGTACGTATCCGACTGAGAATAAATGTCCAGAATATATAAAGAATGCTTACCAATCAATAAGAAAAAAAATAGAAAATCTGTTAACAGGCATTTCATAACAAAGAAGCATGGCATGTCCAACCAACATACGACAAGATATTTAACCTAAGTAGAAGCAAAGTAAAATGACAAGATACCATTTTATACCAATCAGATTGGTGAATTAAAGTCTGGCAATACCAAGAATTGATGGGAAATAGAGCTACATAAGTAGGTCCAATCTCTTTGCAAAATGGTTTAGTGTTACTCAGCAAACTTGACATTATCTAGTAAACTTGAATTAAATAGTAATTCTTAAATATCAACATAAGGAAACAAATACAATATTTATAGAATAAAATTTTTTCAAAACAAGAAGCTGGAGACAGTCCAAATAAACCTCGAGACAAATAAATTGTGGTATATATATAGATATATCTATGTATCTATATATGGATATATAGATATATCTACAATAAAATGCTATACAGCAGTGAAAATGAATAAACCATAGCCATACGATCAACACCGAAGAGTTGCACGTTAGTCCTCTACAAAATGTACATTTATAATATTCAGCTTTTGCCTTTATAGTCTGACAGCAGTGTTTGGGTCTTGCTATTGGTCAGTATTTCAGCTGTGGTAACAGACGTTATTGATGATGGGAACTGGGCTTTGAGCCACTAGGGAGGGAGGGGCTTCATCTTGAATCAAGTCATCGATTAAACGCACTGGGCACAAATCCACAATGCCAGACAACCTCGCAGGTTTTCCAGGGGCCACTCCCTACCCCCTTCACCTTTTTCCCAGCTATGGTGGCCCCCTCTCAATGTCCGCATGGTCTCGAGAAGCAGCAGAATGTGCCTACTACGTTCTGCGGCACCGTTTCCCAGGCCTGCAACGTCCGACCACATCTTGGACCGCCAGCTCCCATCCCTTGATTCCCAGGTTCTCGGGAACTTGAGCCCGACCGCCGCGGTCTGTTTCCAAGGTCTGCGCTCCGACCGAAATTCTCAACTCCGTGCAGACATCGCCCCCGTGGAGTCCGCGCACCTCTAAACCAGAAACGAAGTGCCTTTTTTTTACAAACCAAACAAAACAATCAAAGACGCGGTCCCGGCGGATTAGACCTCAGCATCTCTCACAGACTCCGTCGCCGCCCAAGGGCAGTCCTACGCCGCCGCGTCCCCGCCTCGCTCTGACGTCATCCCGACACGCGGAGGCGGCGGTCCGGCTTGAGACGTCATCTGGTGGCGCCTAATCGGCCGTTGCTTTCCTGTTGCAGGGAGGAGGCGACCTGGAGAGCCGCGGGGTCCGAGATCATGCCTGTCAGAGAGAGGTGTCCTGGACAGCGTAGGACGCTAGGCTTGGGATGAAAGAAGCAAAGCAGATGCAAAGCCTGGAGAGCGCGGGGACCGCGCGGTCAGTCAGCACCCAGACTGGCAGCATGACCGGTGAGTGCCCGGGACCCTGGTCCGCCACCCACCTTTGGCTCTGCCCTTGAACTCCGGGTGCCTTGCTTGCCCCTTTTTGCCTGCCCCGCTGCTCCTGGATCCTCTCCGTGCATGTGCCCGCCTCGGTCACCAGGACCTCTGGGTTCGGCCACACCGGGTTTTGAAGTCGCGCTCTTTGCACCTCCCCGCCCCCGCCCCTTTACTTTTCCTGGCACGATCTCGAGCTGGGATCTCGGACGTTGAAGAGCTTGGAAGATCCCCAAACCGCGCTTTTGCCTCGATTTCCAAATTCACAACACGTGACGCCTTCCCATATCGTGACTAGGATGTGGGAAGGTCATCGCATTTTAATGCGTGTTGTAATCCCTGCCCCGGTAGCGACGCCTCATCACTGTGCAAAGAAAAGCCTGCTCGGTGACGACGCCAGATGCGAGGACTTTTCAAAACTTCCTTTGGCGGATTCCTTTAGTTATGTGTATGCTGTTTTTTTTCTTTTTATTGTTGTTGTTTTTTCTGACCAGTAAGGGCTGGATAAAGAGAAACCCTTCTTGGGAAAGTGCCACCAGAAGCCCTCCCCGCCCCCGCCCCTTTACTTTTCCTGGCACGATCTCGAGCTGGGATCTCGGACGTTGAAGAGCTTGGAAGATCCCCAAACCGCGCTTTTGCCTCGATTTCCAAATTCACAACACGTGACGCCTTCCCATATCGTGACTAGGATGTGGGAAGGTCATCGCATTTTAATGCGTGTTGTAATCCCTGCCCCGGTAGCGACGCCTCATCACTGTGCAAAGAAAAGCCTGCTCGGTGACGACGCCAGATGCGAGGACTTTTCAAAACTTCCTTTGGCGGATTCCTTTAGTTATGTGTATGCTGTTTTTTTTCTTTTTATTGTTGTTGTTTTTTCTGACCAGTAAGGGCTGGATAAAGAGAAACCCGACTTGGGAAAGTGCCACCAGAAGCCGTGGCGAGTGAAGCGTAGTCGAAGCTATCTATGATTGTGGTGACCTCTAGTCATTTTTCTCTGCGTACTGCTGAAGGAGCTGAGCAAAGGCTGCAACACCCAAGTGGCGTGGAGATTTTTCCTGTTCTCAGCATTAGGAACATTTTAAAGTGTTTGCCCTCTCTTTTGTAGGTCAAACACCGAGGCTTTCTAAAGTCAACCTTTTCACCCTGCTCAGTCTCTGGATGGAGCTCTTCCCGGCAAGAGAAGCTCACAGGCAGAAATCTCAGGTATCATTTGTTTCAGTAGGTGTTTTTTTCTCCTCAAAAAAGCGGTCGTGGGAAATGTGATTTTATTGCTCCAACTCTGTCACACTTAAAGTCAAATTCAACAAGCCGTCAGATCTGAAAAATACCCCTGTTGTTTAGTGTGACAGTTGTAATGTATAGTTGTAATAGCTCCTCTTTCCAGTCTAAGAATAGGATAGTTACTCTCCCAGCCAGAGCCATGTTTATCAGATATTCATGCTACTTGTATGTTGGTTTATCTGATAAGGTTATTATACATTCAAGGTAATTTATCACCCAGCTATATACTGTTGGTGTATTATCTAGATAAGTTTTTCCTTTTCCTACTGAACTGTAAATTTCCTGAAGATAGAGATCATGTCTTATTTTACTTGGTTTATCCTTTAGCATCTACCATAGGTAATCTATGCTATTAACTGACTTCTTGTTCCACGTAAGTAGTGTCTTGTGTATCTAGAAAGATGATCAAGGCAGATTAGGAATGCATCGTAAGGATAATCATGGAAGTTAATATACTGGAGGTATGTCCATCCCACAGCCTATTGTTCTCCTGTCCTTGTGACCCAAGGTGCTAGGCTCTCATTGTTTACCCCCAGGCTTACAGTGGCATGATGCTAGTTCTCACCATTTTGGTTTGGTAATTTTGGAAATTTAGAGTTTCTGTAATTAATTTTTATGGCAGTCCAAGGTCATATTATAGATAATAATACTAGGTTCAGTTAGGCTTTTAAGACATTTTTGAAAACAGATGAAGGATGTGGGAGACAGAAAATGATCTATGCCTTCTTATCAGTCTAGCAACATTACTATTAATATTTTGATATTTTCCTTCTAATCTTTTTTTAAGCTTAAGTCTATTTTTTACCCTTAACACAATTACGGTAATTACTGTATACTTGTAATTATATTCTGCATATGCTCATTGAGGTTTCTAACTTGCCGATAATAAATTCTAAATTCCCATAGTCCTCTTTTTTTCCCCCAAATTTATTTATTGCCAGAAGGTGCATGTGCTTGCCACAGAGAGAGAGAGGAAAAAAAAAACCCTCCCACCCATGGAATGGGTCCCACCTCGATCCTGTTTTCTCCATTCCTCCCTCTCTTCAGGATTTTGGGAATCCACACACATCAGGTGTGTTTTTCACACCACTGGGGCCGGAATTTGAACTATGGTCAGCCATGAGCTATGATTTAGCTCCCTATGCACAGGGCATAACTGTTAAGCTGTTAGGCCAGCTCCCTTAGTACTCTTAGAAGGCCATTGCTGACCATCCTCTTTTTCTTTTTTATTTGGGATGCCTTTGCAAAGTTAAGATTGTGGTTTTGGTGCTGGAGATACAAAGAAAAAAGCAAGGTCCTTATTTTCTAATGGGGACAAACACTAGGCATTTAATAAATTCATTAAGATCATTAGATGGTGGAGCCTAGAGCAGAGTATAAACAGATGCTACTACGGCTGAGGGCTTGTTTGCCCTCATGGGGCTAACACATGGGGAGGTGAAGGAAGGACTCACAGTGGAGGCAGTGTTTGCACTGAGACATGAGGGTAGGGAGGCATTTGTCCAAGTCTAGGAACTCCATTTGGAAAAACTTGGAAGAATGAGGGTATCTGTGGTCCTCATGCCAGACGGTGAAGTTAGGAAAAGGGAGGAGACTAGAAGTGAGCTTGAAAAGTAGATAGGAATCATATTAAAACACTGTGTTTGCAAAAGAGTGTAGATTTTTATCCTGTCAGTATCAGGGTTGCTCTAGAAGTGTTAACAAAAACTAGGGACTTCACTTCTCATGATAAAACGATACCTTTGGAGTAGCTTTCTTCCGATATGAAATGTTTAATAAATAATAAAATATTTTTTAAAATGTTATACATTGTTATTCCCTATTTCTCAGCACCCCACCCTCCAGCCCTTATCTTGGGTCCACGTTTTATTGATGATTTTGAGGAAGCCCTTCATTTCTTTCATAAATTGTGAAATTCCTTTATTCCTTTTACTTATTAGTGACTTAGTATTATTTTCTAAAAGGAGAAGATTTCCAAGCTATTGAGGTTTTGGAGAATTTGTTTTTGGGGGTTTTTGGAGATAAAATTTGTCTTGAAGAGCCAGATTAAAAGCACATGTTTAGAGATTTAAGACTTTAAAAGGCACATTTAAAAACTGAGTTTATTACAGATTAAATACTCATTTTGAAGAGCCTTTTTTCTTTTCTCTTCTTCTTTTTTTTTGGAGAGGTTTTTGCTATTGGGTGTGTGCGCTTGCCAGAGAGACAAAAAACGAGAAATCACCCCCCAGGGGGGATGGTCACGCCGCAATCCCTTCTCCACTCTGCTCTCGGGATGTTGGGCATGCACGCACACTTGCCGGCGTGAGTTTGAGCCACTGGATCCAGACTCAACTGTTCGGCTACATGAGAATCCAGCGACATAGCCGTTATGCTAACTGCTGGTCCTGAGCCCTTTTTTTTTTTTTTTTAATATCTAGGTTTGATCTCATTTTAGTTCTATTTTATACACATACACATCGCCCAAGACTATATCCTGTGCTGAAATTAAATTCTGTTTTTTAACATGTAAGTATAAGCTATATTTAATTAGCGAATACTGATATTTATATTTCTATTAGGAGAGATTGGCCAACAAATTGTTGAACTTTGTTTGCAAATAGTATATACCAGTTTCCTCATACTTTACAGAATATGTAAAAAAACAAACAAACAAAAAAACCACTATGTAACCTGAGAAAAATAACTATAATAAGGCTGTCAGCATTTTGAATAAAAATAGGGCCAAATAAATTTCAGAATTATAAAGTTACATTAATAAAAATATTTTATACAAATTTGTATCTTATTTAATAAAATACCAGGTTTATGATATCATATTTTTAAAAAAATCATTGTCAGTTTTCTGGTCTCTCATTCTTTCATCTGCAGGCACCAAGAAAGTTTTTTGCTTCTTTTTTTTGCAGTAGGGTGCGTGTGTTCACCAGAGATAAACACAAAAAGACAGTGAGAGGGAAAGTGAGAAATTACCCCCCGGGGGGATGGTCTTACCACAGTTCCTTCTCCATTCTCCTGGGATTTGGGGTATGCATGCACATGCGCCCAGCATGATTTTCAAGCTGCCAGGTACAGGTCTCAAACTGCGATTGGCCATGTGAGAGTCCAGTGCCATAACCACTAATCCACCTACTGGCCCCAAGGAAGTGTTTTTAAAAGGAAGAACTCACTCTTTTTAAAATTTTTTAATTGCCAGGAAGCACATGCACTCACTGAGAGAGACAGAGAGTGAAAAGAGCAGAAAGCACCTCCTAATGTAGTGTGGTCATGCTGCAGTCCCTCCTCCATTTCTCTGTCCTATTGAGAATTGGCGCGTGTAGACACATGTGCCAGCTGTTTTGCAGGCCTCTGGGGTAAGGACTGAAACTGCATGTGAGATCCCACTCCTTATTAATTAAGCTATGGGGTTGGCCCAGTTTTTGTTATAAATACTTTATTTGGAGTAGTTTTTAGAAATCTGACTCACCTGTGTATGTTTAAGACTTTCTGAAAGTTAATTAGATGTGGAAAAGAGTACAAAGGATATAAAACCAAAATGAGAATTTTGTTTTAAGCATGATGGCCAACCTAGAAGTAGGATTGATTTAGATATAGGAAAGGTTATCACACCTGTCTCCTGAGTCTGGGTCTTGTCCTGCTTTTATTCTCTGCAATGGTATCTTCCTAGACGTATTCCCTGTCTGGGGGGAGCACAGCTACCAAGTCATGGTCTTGGGTAGGTCTCCACTCTGTTCCTTCCCTTTACACCTTGGGTTTTAGAGGCACTTGGGCTAGGGAACCCTTAGTAGTATTCTAGCAGTGATCTTATGGGTTTAATAGGCTTTTGCAAGTTAGTTTGGGAACTTGACTGTCACTTTTAGGTGTTTATATAAGAAATTGTATTTTAAATTAAAAAAAAAGCAAATTCACTAGGTATTTATACCATAAATATTTGTAGGTTACCAACTACTTGTGTTTCTGATGTCAATAAAGCAGAGGCCTAAAATAATTTTATTAGTATTTCTGAGGTCATGGCTGTTGCAAAGAAGGAAGACAGTGATAAGGTAGAGGAGAACCAAAGATGAAAGGGAACATTGTAGACCTCTTTGATTATTTATAAAACAAACATTCTAGAAACTGAAGACTTAATCTGCTATATCTACATTGTATTGTAAAACGCCATATTATCTAATATTTACTTCTTTCTTTTCTGGGTTCCTTTTTTGTAATACTTACTATATACATGTAGTTTTGCAATTAGTGAGATCACAGTGGAAATACAGTTTTATATTTTACATTTCTGTGCTTTTGTAAAGTTTATGTATTCATATTAATAATTATACAATACAAATACCTATGGATTTCATATATAGTATATGTTGTCATTGTGGTTTGTTTTTGTTTGTTTGTTTAATGTTCAAGGCACATGTGCATGTGTGCCTGAGGCAGAGAGAGGAAGTAAGAGTAGGAGTGAGAGAAAGCACCTCCTAAGGGGTCTGGTCAGGCTACAGTCCTTTTTCCTTACTTTCCCATCCTACCAGGATCCTGGGCCACATGCATGTGCCCAGCTGTTTATCAAGCACCGTAACCGTGATCAGCTATGTGGGAGCTGCCCCTTTGCACAGCTCGTGACTCCTGTGCTGCAGCCCACCCCCTCACCCCAATTTTGTGTTTCTACTGTGGAAATATTAAATTATTTAAAATTATATGCGATTTTTGTGGTCAATATTTCTTTACTATTAACTGTAGCATAATTTCTTTTTTTTTTTTTGCACTCATTTATTTCTTCCATGAACTAAAGAGACAGAGAGAGATATAGACAGAAACAGCACCCCAAACAGGGTCTTGATGCTATGACCAGCCACCAACTTGAGGCTATGATTAAGTTTTAGCCAGCCCCAGATCATGGCCACAGATGAACCTGTGTACCCAGGGAGGTCTCTGGGTGCAAACCTAAAGCTTTTCTGTGTGGGTCAGTCTCAAAGAGTGTAGTGTTGAAGTAGTGTACCACTGTACAGCCTCTCACTATAATTTTTCTAGCGTTAGTTGCAATTGGTGTTCCTAGGGTCAAGTAAGATTTTTCCTAATAAGAAGGGGAAAATATTATTTAAAATAATAAGATTCTTCCACTCAAATTCTTTATTCTTTTGCCATCCAAAAGAAGTAACAGAAACTCCAAGAAGTAATTTTTTTCTGTTTTTCTTTCTTTATTCGTGACAAAGTGGATGTACACAATGGGTCAAGGAGGCAGCCCCCAATATGCAATTTGGCGTGTAATTGTATTAGAAGTACTGATTTTGACTCTTCAGCAACCTTTTGTCTTTTTAAAAGATTTTTCTTTACTTTTTTAAAAAGTCATTTATTTATTTTATTTATTATGATGATTATTATTTAATTTGCTACAGGGTATGCACATTTACCAGAGAGAGAGAAAGTGAGAAAGCAAGGCACCAGGTCCAGGACTTGAACTGTAGTTGGCTATGTAGGAGTTCATTGCCTTAAGCACCACACCACCTACTGGCCCCTACCTTTTTTTTTAAATTGCCAAGAGTATGCATATTCACGAGAAAGAGTTTGGCACAGAAAGCATTCCCTTTACCTCCCCATGGGGCCTGGTCATGCCACAATCTCTTCCTGTCCATTTTTCCATCCTGTTGGGATTTGGGGCATGCCCATATACAAGCCCAGTGTGTTTTTCAAGCCCCTGAGGCCAGGATTTGAACCTGTGGTTGGCCATGTGGCATCTGGCTCCCTTAATCAAGAGGCTACAAAGGGCCAGTGCTAAACAATGAGTAACTAGATTGTTATGAGACTTCGGGGGGGGGGGGGAAGAGAGATATATTTAACTAAAATATATATCTCTCTTAATTGATTTATAGTTTTTCATTTTAATGTTAAGTCAGACTTCTCTAAATTACTTATTATAGTAAGTATAAGAATTAGAATGATTGTATTGTTCACTATTATTTTCTACACAATTTATATTCTCCCTCTCTCCCAGCTCTTCCAGTTGTGTCCTCTGATACCTTCTTTTTCCTTTTTTGAGAGATTTTTGCTATAGGACAGGTGCACTCACTGGAGAGACAAAGTGAGAAAACACCCCCAGTGGGGATGGTCATGCCTCAATCCCTTCTCCTTTATTCTCCTCTTGGGACTTTGGGCACACATGAACACGTGCCCAGTGTGAGTTTTAAGCCACCAGGTCTAGGACTCAAACTGCGGTTGACTACTTAGGAGTTCAGCAATATAACCATTATGCCATCTGCTGCCCAATACTTTATTTCCATGCTATAGCATGTTAGTATACTTTTCTAGATTAAAAACAATGTAGTGTAATGGTTAAGACAATAGATTTTGGGCTAGAAATTGGCTTATTCATTTATTCATTTTGTGACCATGATTGAGTGACTTAAACCTAGTTCAGTCATAATTTCCTCATTAGTAAAATAGGAATAATTGTAGTTACTTATAAAGTTGTGAGGACCTAGTACAGGGTAAACACTTTGTAGATATTAGATACTGTTATTATCATTTATGTTATTATCACAGCTACCATCCACACCTCCACGGTTTCACTACCAACACTATCACTTCCTCTACTGCTTGATCATTCCCTAGACATGAGTTTTCTTATGAACTTCTCCTTGGAAGTCATTCCTTTTCTAGAATCCAGTACTTATTTCATTAAGACTAAGCTAAAAGATTAACATTCACCAGTTTTCCATATCTACTTTCAAAAGTTTTCTAATTTATAAATTATCCCACCTCCTTTGGGACTTCCAGAATTCTATTGCCTACCTTGTCCTTTTTTTTTTTTTAAGAATTATTTTTTATTTAACTTGATTTATTTAATTTGATCAAAGAGGGACAGAGTGAGTGAGAGAGAAAAAGTGAGAAATCAATCCGCCAGGTCTGGGACTCAGCTGAAACCATGTTTGGCCATGTGGGAGTCCAGAGCCCTCAACCACCACGCCACCTGCCCGCCCCGCCTACCTCATCTTATCATCTACTCATTTCAAAGTCACTTTCCCATGTTCATAAACCGTTAGCTCTATGAGAGCTGCATCTTTAGCAATTAGGTGTATGCCTGCATATAGGAAGAGTTTCAGTAAGTATTTGTTGAACTAATAAGTGAAGGATTTTGACTCCTGGCTCAAAAATTTCTACTTCTAGTTTACTTTTAGAGGAAACTTATGAGTATGCCTATGAAAGTTTTGTACTGATGCTATAACAAACTACCTCAAAAGTTATTTGACTCAAAATAACACAAATTTATTGTAACAGTTCTGGAGATTAAAATGAGTTGTGTCACTGGGTTAAAATCAGTGTTGTGAGTGCTGAGGGTTGAGTCCCTTCTGGAGGGTCTAGGAGAGAATTCATTTTCCTACCTTTTCCAGCATCAAGATACTGCCTGTATTTCTTGGCTTAAGGACTTCTGCATCCTGAAGGCCAGAAAAAGCCAGTTGAGCCTTCCTCATGTTACATCACTCTTACTCTCTGCCTCCCTCTTTCCTTATAATGACCCTTGTGATAACATGGGGCCCACCAATTAACCCAGAATAATCTCCTCATCTCTAGGTAGGTGGTTAGCAGCCTTACTTTCATCTGCAACCTTAATTTCCCCTTGATCTGAAGTCAGTAAAGCACTGTGTAATATCACATAGTCACAGGCTTCAGGGATTGGGACAGGGAGGTCTTCCTAAGGCTATTATTATATCTACCACAGTCCATATCTAAAACTTCTGCTGCATAGTTCCTTATCTTTTCATTCACTTCATCTACTTCAACTTCACTTTAGTTGTTTATAACTGTGGCCATTCTTTGGCCTTTTTTAAATTGCCCCATTTTTGTTCTTAGAAACTATAGGATTTTATCATCCAATACTTCTATATTTTGGAAACGTATATAGGATTATATAGACGTATATAGATTATACAGGCCTTATTACTTGGATAGGGAGCCTGAATGAACAAAGCAGGAGGTTGGGCAGCTGCATCCACATGGCTGACTGCATAATTCAAGTCCCAGACCTGGCAACCTGAGAAACACCAGGTGTGTGTGATGCCTGTGTGATTGCAATGTGACCACTCCTTTTATGGAGTGCTTTCTCACTTTTCCTTTGTCTTTTTGTCTCTCTCTATTTTTCTCCAGCAAGCATACAAGCTTTCTCAGAACAACAAAACAGGAGGTCAGAATTCTATCAAGAAAAACAAAAAAGAATGGTCCAATGCCAAGGAAACCAACCTTTACATATGATATATTGAATTAATTATATTGCCTATATGCCTTGGTACTAACCTTTTTTCCCCCTTAACTTGATTTCAACTAGAAAAATGAAGAGGGACAGCATGGACCCTTAGGAGATAATGAAGAAACGACTAGAGTGTCTTCTGACAAAAAACAGGTGAATTTTTATGATTTTTAAAAAACATATGTGCTCATCATAACAAACCAAAAGGAAAGGTGTAAAATACCAAAGTCCTTTCTATATTCATGTTCTGCATTCCCACTTTTAAGGGAGTTTCTTATATATCTCCACACAATCCATGCATTTATAAGACTATATGCCTCTCCTATTAAAATACATACATATACATGCACACACATTCACACACACACACATACATGTGTGTATATTAGACAGGATTAATCTATGAAATGCTCTTACATCTTTTTAAAAATATTTTCATATTTAACTCTTTAACACCTTCTAATATTTGTTCATATGGCTGTGCTGAGAAGCAGTCTTCCATTGTTCTCTTACATACCTACACATTTTGCTGTTTATGCCAAGAATGCAAGGCCCTAACCGCT